ATTACAACCTTCCAAATCAATATGCTGTGTAAACTAAGATAATGTATGCATTGGTATGATGTATTAGTATGTATGAACATACAATAATTGCAGCATGAGTTACCACCACGCCATATGAAGTAGTTTTATCAAATGCTTAATAACAAAGAGAAGAAAGTTATTTGAATATGGGTGCTGTCTTTTGTGGCAAACTTGTTTGTGTGATAGTATCACATAATTAGTAGCAGAACAAATCACCATCACAGACATTCTTCACAGGTAACATGTTGTCATGAATTATCAAGGCATCCTCTAGATATTGTACATTAATGGCATTGATCACCAACATTTAGGTAGGTAACAAACTCAGGCTGGGCTCAATCGATATGATGCCTTGGGGACCTGGCATGCCTTGAAACTGCTTTGCATTTGTTTGATTGTTAATATGACATCACAACTTAAATGCCTCGGTGGTAGGAAAAGATGGACAACAAAATCACTTAGTAAATAGATGTTAGAGTACCATATTTTATGATGAGTGAATTCTGTACAATATGAAATGCAACGGTATTTTTAACGCACCGTCTGCTGGAACCATCTACAAAGATGCCAGATTCACTGGGAGAAAATGGTGATAACAGGCTGTGTGTTAAATAAATTTTATACATGTGCATAATAATGCACCAATACAACATGTGGCAATTTGCTTCTTCAGTTTACTTATGTCACTTTCCTGTAAAGTTTTTTGGTTTCCACAAATTTCAACTGCGAAGTAACTCAGGGCACCCAGAGGCATCAAATCGATTGCATGCTATGTTATGAACCTTAAAGTCCCACCAGCTATAAGCAGAGTATGTCACTAACAATACTTACTTCTCATCTTGACTGACAGGTTGCATTGATGATGCACTAGGAGTGGTAGTTCTTCGTCCACCACTCTGAGCAGACATGGAGCTGGATGCCCGGGATCCAGAGTCATCTCGTAGGATATGTTTCAGAACTTTCTCCAGTTCATTGTGTACATCAACACTGCTATCTCGCTGATCCAACATTCTACACAGAAAATAAGATGTGCAAGTAACGGTAACTAGAATAGTAATGAACTCAGGTTAGGCAGGTTCCTGATTTTAATACATAGTTTTACAGTACTGCAATCGTGAAATCTGTTCAGTGACTTACACTTTAACTTTTAAAATTTTATGAAGTGCAGTGAGATCTGGATTACTTCGGAGTTCCTTGGCAATCTTATTCTGATCAACTAGTTGGTAACGAACCTAAAAAAACACAAATAATGATGATGCATAATGTCAACTTCACGAGTCAGGTTCCGAAACCATGTGTATTCACAATATTTTATTTCAGATACTGAAACCTAAGTAAGAAGTCAAAAACACTAAATTCATCCTAAACTGAGGTGAGGCAAATAATTTAATTATTCTGTATTAATGATTTATATACTTTAAAAACATATTATAACTGATACAATATCTATTATTAAAAAATCTATAAATCAATATAAAATTTATGTTATATTGTTAGATATATGGTACAACGACGGGTCAAAAGACTGCCATCTTTGAAACTACTTCAGATCAATATTGATTAAAAATAAAAATAATTAAACACATATTCATGTAATTATAAAATTAAATACTAATCCAAATAGATTTTTAAACTATTATTATTAATATTCTACAAATTAAAATGATATACATGTACCTAGTGTCGCATACCAAAGGCTAAAATATGCATATGGTTAAGTCTGTAGTGATTATCACAGAGACAGCATGCTATGCTTGACTGGTTCTATTCTCGGGGGCGGAGTTACATCACGTAACATTTTATGTTGCTAGACATGCACCACACTACCATTTATTTTTATGTGGAACACCGGTCAAGAGCGAGTGAAAACAGCTAAAGTTATGAGGCAATCCAGAACAACAAAATTGTATATATATTGCACATGTATGGGTATTGTTATTACAGTGTTGAGAAGAGTCTCAATAACTAGACCAAAGTACAGTTTTTTCGACTGTTGTTTTCATCGGTTGTGGTTGCCAGGCAGTGAAAATGCACGGTAGTTTGCTCCTGAGAATTTAGTAAACTGAAATCATAAGTCTCAACATAGAAAGTTATTGTTAGTAAAATTTACCTTACAAGTTTACGCTACACTAATGGTTTTCCCTATACTGACCTTATTCCACACGGGTTTCTTATCTATAACTACAGTTTTACTGCTTTCAGTAACACTACCTACGACATCGACAGAGACACTGGTAGCTACCTGTAATCTGAGAACCTGTTTAAACAGAACTGGAATATGCGACTTGGTGAATTCCGCAGTCGCTTTGCTGACTTCTGCTGCTTCTTTCATTCGTCCGGCGTCTACATGACACTCAATTAACGCTATCATCAACTGTGCCCGCCATTCATAGTCTTTGTCATCGATGTCGTCCAGGGCTTTCACCACTTGGTGGAGGCTGATTGACAGGTATTGCCTGTAATTAGGTTTCAGGAATGGACGACAAAACTGCCAGTACAAGACAGAGGCATTGTATACGAGGAAGTGATACCTGAACAGGAAATGAAAAAAAAAAATCACTGTTAGGTATTTTTTCATTATATAAATAAGCAATATACTGTTACTAGGGTAGGGTTTTGCCCACAATCATTTATCACTATATTAATAATTGTAGACACTGCATTCTCCTAGTGATAATGTTTAAATATATACATTTGTTTACTGCATCTGTAAAGTTAGTGGACATAAAACTATATACAGTACAATACCTTGTGTTCTCCTTTGCAAAGCTGATAGCTTTCAGAAGATAGACAACTGCCTTTTCAAGTTGGCTCTGAAG